GTTTTGTTTCTCAACTTGTTCTTACTAATGGTCACTTCTCTTAGAAATGACCACTACTTACTTGTGTGGCGCTATTTTGATATTATAGATTTGAAACAGAAAAAAATATTTCAAAGAAAATAAAAAGGTGGGAAAATAATTGAGAACCCAATAAAAATTTTTTATTTAAAACCACACAGAAAATGACAAAGTAAAGTGAGGACAATGGAATGTGGAAGTAGGTTATCAAAAATGGACATTGAGGGGAAATAATATGCAAAGGCAACTCAGGTGTTGTTTTGACTTAACATGTTAACTGTTGAGAGGTATGACCTTGGATCAGACTCTGAGTAATATTTTCTGGATCAAAAATTCTGGAATTGTGTATGTGCAAATATGAGGTTTCACTGATATTAATGGTGCTAAAACAAAAGAAAAGCGGGACTTCACCTTTTCTTGTCACATTTTAACTTTAGCCAGTTACAATAAACTGGTGGGGATGATAGAAAAGGAAACTGTTCCTTTATGGACTATGTGATTAGGTGTGCTAATTATTTGTGGGTGGAATTAATTCTGAAGATCTCTCTATATTCAGGCTTGAGGTCATGGTAAAGCCATTTATCAGGTCCTATGCTCAGTTGCTACAAAGAGCATCCAGAAATCATCTAAACCAGATCCTGAAGTTAGTTGCTGAGACAGAGCTCCTAAGCCCAGATCAGTTATACTAGCTGTTAGCTTGTTTGTTGTTTAATTCAACTAGCCATTAAAAAAAATAAAAAAACTTTAATCCTCCACCCCACCATCATCACCACCACTGAAGTAAAACTTAAGATTCACAGTACCAATAAGCTTGCAATTCTTATGAAAACATTAAAGTCTTGTTAGTTGTTATTAAGTGAGTTGATCTCATTTTGTAGAAGATACAACTAGAAGATACCAACCCAAACTTTCATCTTATGATACTGTGAACTGCCAGTTACTGGGATACCAAGATAATTCTTCATACTTTGAGGTGGAAAAGGCTTTGTTGTACAAGACCTGCAATAGATAATGAATAGCCAGTAGTACCATGCCTGTATGTTTTTGTGTAGAAAAACAATAAGTTTCTTAATGTTTTTAATTTTTTTTTACCCTAAGGTTATTATTTATTATCATATTCTTTCGAAAAATGTATTGTTTTTTAATTGTTAGAAGCATTGTTTGGGTGATCCTTTGCACAATCTTAGAAGTGTCCTTGAAGTTTACTCATTTTTTTAATTTTTTTTTTGCTTGTGCAAATATTCATCTGTCGTACTTTGTTTACAAGCTTTATGGAAAAATTGGAAAGTGTGTTCCACATGAAATTGTAGAAAAGAACACTGGTGAACAATTAAACATTTGTTATTCTTACCTGGTGCAGTTGGTTTTTTTTTTTTTTTTTTGGATGGGATTGTAACTGATAATAAAAACAGCTCTATTATAAGAAGAAAGAAAATCATGATTAGACTTAGCTCAACATTTAACATCTTCACCTAAATGTAAACTAGGAAAGAAAAGTTGGATTCAGAAGAAATTCTTTATTACAAATTGCTGGAATTAGGACCAAGTGTTATTGCACAGCACTACAGAGAGCAATTGACTAATTTTCTAAGAAAAAACTTTTTCTGGGCAAGGAAATACATTGCTAATTTTGCATGACAACATGGAGCTGGGATGGAAAGTTCAACTTCATACGGTTTATTGTTCAAATCTGTTATCTTCAGATTATTACATGATTTCTCCATACAACAAAGACACTTTAGAATATTAAAAATCAATGAATCAAAACAATTGTTCTTTTATGATAAAATACACAATTTAGCTGAAAGCCAGCGAAAATATTTTGACTAAATATTGGGACTGTAAATTGTATGAATAAAATATTTTGTCAAAAAAAAATCCAGAAATGTTTTACATCAATCTTGTTAAGCAGACATACAGAATACACTTCATTTTGTTTCATAGGGTTATGTGAGTACTTTTATGATTTCAAGATGACATATGTAAAGCAAAATAAGAAAAAATAGCTTTCTAAATGAGCATAAAATGGAATACAAAGCTGGGGCATGGAAAGCATAAACAAAAATCTCAATTTTTATTTTTCTTAAAACAACAAAATCTTTAGAAATATCAGTGAAGAAATGCAATCACAAGAAAAATCTACTATAAGTTTAATAATAGTTTGGTCTTATATTGCTTTGTATATTCTTTTGATTTTTGTCTCATTTCTTACAAACACTATACTTTAAATGACTCTAAAAATAGTATGTATGTGCATTTTCAGCTAAGGATTATATTTACAAAGCAATGGAAATTTTTTATATATATAAAACTTACTTGAACTTGCATCCTTTGCCAATCCATTTTTAAGAAGCTTCCAGGGATATGCTATTATATAAATATTATGTACACATTTTCATTATTGTTGTTGGTATAGTTTGATAGAGTACAAATACTTTTAACTAATTCTTTTAATATAAGGTGCAAACTAACCACAGTTTAGTAAACTTGATTACTGCTGTTTCATTACAAGTATCGCAGTAATATATTATGCAAGATAGTTAAATTAAATAGCATAGAGAAACTGCATTATTTCATTTTGTGTTTTAATTTTTTTTCTTTTTTTAATTGGCTATTGAGATGTATGGATTCTTTTGAAAAAAATTGTTTGAACTTTTAAATTGGTAAACAGCTACTGAACTAAAGGACATGCCTTGAGTATTAAACTAAATAAAATAATTGAATTTTCTTATTGCTGTATCCAACATATGAGACTTAATTAAGTCATGCACATTTAATTATCAAAATACACTATTCATTATGAAATATTGTGATGCATTGTACAAGGCAAATATGATGACAGTCAACTTGGCATTGGTAGGATTAGATTTATGGTTTACTCATGATTGATTCTACTTGCTGCTTACTCTGGCAAGATGACCAATGAACTCTTGTGATAATACCAGGATAAAAAAAAATGAACCATTATTATTTTTTTCATTTTAATTGAAATCTACTCATAGTACCTGAAAAAGTCTTGACCATTAGTAATCTTTTATTTCATGTTAATTTTAGTTGCTTTTTATTGCAACTACTAAGACCAGTGTATGACCATTTGTAAACAGCTTTGATCATAAGGTTTCAGCAATGATAAAAGAAATACTAGTAAAAACAATTAATAAGAGTTGACATTGCTTCAGCTAAAGTTTTTAGATGTATCTGTTAAATTGGCAAGCCTTTCTCTGCTATTTTAGAAATTTCAAGTTGAAATATAAATAGTTAACATTATCATTAAATGAAAACCTTGCTATTTGATGAAATTTTTTGTGCATCACATTGTAATAATTTTGTTTGGGTACGTAATGTTCTTTATTCGTCATGGATACTTAATGTCAGGATTTTATTATCTTATCTTGTTTTTCATTAGGTAAATAGTTAGATTTCTGCTCTGTAGTTGATTGAAACTTATCCCCATTGAAAAAGGAAAGTTAAAATGGAATATAAAGAGATTAAGGATTAAATAATTTAACAGATACTGTGGCAATTCTTAAAAGGTTTGGGATCAATAAGAGAGTTTAATGATGGAACTAAGTATAATTCCTTTATGAACTTCAATATTTATACAGCCTTATGTAGATATGTTTAACAGTTTTTTATTTCTAGAAACCTTTTTGTCTCATGTTTGAAGTTCCTCATCTTACTGCTCTTAAGACCTGTTTGCATATTAAAAGGAAATTGAAAAGAATGTCTGACTTTATCGGCTCATATACAGATGGATGTTGCTTCCTGTTTGCTTAAGGAGTGTAAACTGATACAAGAAATAAGATTCTTTCAAATTATTTTAGATTTTAATTAGAAAAAGAAAAACCTGAAGTCTGGTTTCTCTGTGCACTTCTATACCAGGTGCAATATTGGTCACTAATTACAATGACCATTTATGACTGCTGTGTTTATTTGATTATTAGAAATTGCACTTTGTCAAATCAACATATGTAAAGTAAATGTAAAGTCTGAAATACCAAGTCATAGATCTCTTTTCTTTTCCAACATTATTAACTTGCATAACATTGTTGTTTCCATAACTTGGTCTACTATTACTTTAAGTTTGGGATTATTTGAAGTACATGCCTGTCCTAAACATATTTAGTGCTGAATGATTTGAAAAGAGACTATTAGGATGAAAACCATTTTTCAGTGCCACTGGTTATTTAGTTGAGAAAAGTATTAAAAATATTGTCTTGTTTTTGTGTTTTATTATCTGTTTTTATTGTTACGGATCAGATTCCATTCTCTGCCTCTCTTTTTCTATTTATTCACAGTTCCTCTTGTGATGATTTCTACTTTGCACAATTAATGTCTACTTTTTAAAAATATTTAATAATCCTCATATGCAATGTGTATCAATATATTTTTGTTGTGTGTAACAATTTTCACAGAATGCACAGATACTACATTGATCCTAGGCAGAAATGCTGATCCATATGTAAATAGTCTTGTCATTTATTATGGGTACCATGCTAATTCTATTATAGATTATAGATAAATTCATCAGCATCTGCTAAATTGCACCACAAAGCAGCATATAAAAATATTCAATTTGTGTTAGATTTTATTTGATAAAAAATTTAAAGAAATTTAAAAATTTTAACCAAATATCTTTACAGAAATGTGTCATCTTTCAAGTTTAAATAAAATAGATTCAGTAGAAAAATTAAAATGATGGAAAAATTGGTAAGGTTTTCTATGGGCACTGAAGTAAATTTCCAACAGAATGTTGTCTTCATATCAGCTTTCATATTTAGAGTTCTATTTTCCGTGATTATATTAATAAGTTTTATCTCTTTTTCTTTTTTTCTTGATAATTTCTGCTGTTTTGTTTTGTTTTTGTTTTTTTATTCATCGTCTTTTCATTTAGGAAATTTTCAAAAGTCTTACTTAGTTTACTGTACTGTTTTCCTTTTTAGAGAATTTTATAATGTTACACTTTCTCTTTACTTTGCCAGGATGATGTAAGCAACAAGGTGACTACTCACTGGGATTCTTCAGCAGGGTGCAATAATCAGGATTTATCTGGTGAGAGACTTTTATTGTTCTACTTGATATAACTCTTGCCTGGAATTCTTAAAATATCTATTTATTCTTGCTATTTTTGTATTTAATTCGGTTTTATACATGTTTATCCTAAATATTGAATGTTCTTATAATATGGAATACACAAGACTAATTTGTAACCATATTGAGGAGAAGAGATTATGGTTTGAAATTTTGTTTCCCTATGTGTTATTTAAAAAATTGTATAGCTAATTTATTTCCCAGTGATATTTATCATAGCTTTTTTAAAAGTCTAATTTGGTATTTAAGTCAATTTAAAACTAATGCTCTTACCATATCTTATGGTAAGAGCAGAAAGTCAATGGTGGGAGCTGTTTTTTGATATATTTTAGTTTATTTTTGTTTTTACTTGTAATAAGCATTTCCTAATTCCAAATCAACCATGAGTAAAATATAAGCTTCCCTTTGTAAGATTGGTTATAGCTCAACAATGAAAAATTTACTTGAAAAATCATAAAACAAAATTGACCATTTTATAAAAGCTGGTGCATTTTAATAATTTTAAAGTTATAAATCTTTATTCACCACATAAAATTTTTGTACACTTGAAAAATGCTATTTGATGAGAGACTTTGTACATCACCATTGGAAAGTATAATATGAATGCTGCAATTTTTTTCCAGCACAAGAAAGGAAATAAATTTTCCAGATTATAGGCTTTAAAGAGAAATTATCACAGAGGATGCACTTCTGTACTGAGAATGACAGAGAGTGCTTATTTGGAAAAGATGATATAGATGGAAAGTAATCTTTCTTCTGATTTTATTGCTGGAATATAAACATATGTGATCATGTATTTTTGGTAAAGATTGGATTAACATGTATGCAAAATTGAGTGTGATGTTCTGTCCTGTTTTATATATATATATATATATATATATATATATGCTGAAGTCCTATTGAATACCATATTGCAATGTTGTCTGTGTTAAGTCCTGCTGCTAATTGTGCTTTGTTTTACCATTATTTTTAAAAGACTTAACAGGTTATGGGCTCAAGATATGTTATATCTCTTGATAGAGCAAGGAACTATAGGATCAGCTGATATCTTTATGTCAATGCTTGAATCACAACTCATCTACTATTTGACAGTGAAGTTAAAAATTGGAGATGCTTGTCAATATGGGACTAATATTTGTTCTGATGAAATAAGTCCTTTATGCCTGCAAACAGCTAAACTGTAAACTGAATATAGCGCTTACATGAATAGCTTTAATTACTGTGGACAAACATACTTGCTGGTGATAAATAGTTTAATACTTGATAAATATTTAATATCAATGAGTTCAAATGTTAATTTGAGATCAGTTATTTATGTGCCATGCATGATACATGCTTATGCAATCATGTATCTTTGATACATGACTGACAAGGCAGATATTTTTCCCCCGCAGTAAGTTGCAATTTATTTCTGCAGTAGATCGGTTGTCATCCATGGCTATAGAACCCACTCTGTCCTGCTATTTACCCATAGCTGGAGGGAGAAGACAAGGATTCATACCTTTCCCAAGGGTATTAGCACATAAGTGAATTTAATGGATTTGACAGGATTTCGAACTCAGCTCTCCGATTCCTTGATCCAAGCCGCTTTGGGATACATATATGAAAAAGAAAAGAATTGTTTCCTTTCTGCTTGACTGTGAAGATGTAGATATCAGATAAAAGGGAAGCATGCACATAAAGCTTATTTTAAGGAGGATGTTTTAGAGTTCACTAAAAAGTGTTTTTCCCCTCCTCCTTTGTTGCAGTATTTTTACTTACAATAAATTATTTTGAGTCATTGCCTCCAACAGGCTAGAGCAATTAGTGTATCTTCTCTAGATGACAAATTGGATGCATTGATGATTTTCAATGTTTTGACAGCATATATTGTGGGTATTTGTGTTAGATTCAGGTGCCTTATACTTTCTGGAAGGAATTAGTTTTATTATTCTATGAAATGTGGTCCCAAAGTTTGAATGGTTTTTTGAGGGCAGATTAATTTTCTGAAAAAAAAAAAAGATGTGTCTTGCAACAGATATCTGTAGTTTGGATCAGAAGGACATTCTGTAGTTGAGTGGAGTTTGGTATGAACTTTTTGTATTTGATGCTTAGAGCTGGTGTTTGTGTCGGACCCATTTGATCATTATATGATCATGAAGAGGAGGAGATTTAGATAATGTATATATTTTGTGCCACTCTAAATCTGTTTGTTAGAGCCAAGGAGATACAGTTAAAGGAATATCAAGTGTGACATGCATCTGATGGGATGAATCATGGATCTGAAGCTTCAGTTAAAGCAGAGTGGGTAGAATCAATACAAAGATGTACTGCAAAGACATAACAACTACCAAAAGGGACTTTAGCAAAGAATAATCAGTGGAACACACATAAGATGGGCCAACAAGTACCTGAAGATAATCAGAAAACAGGGGATCAATCTGAAGATAAAAACTTTTTAATAGTTTAAGACTAATAAGTTTAAGTGAGGTACTCTGGAGTAAGAAGTTAATAAGACACTTATTCCAAAGCTTGAAAAAGTCACATGGTTCTAGTATTCCTCAACTTGAGAAATGCAATCAAGAGCTGACAGCATTATTAACCAAACACAGAAGCAAATGAACCACCTTAAGCGTGAATACAATAGTCAAGAAATCAGTTTCAATATTTACTTAAAGAACTGGTTAGTAAAAAGCAGAAATTTGAAAACAAGCTCTTACAGCTTCACATTTAAATTTGGGCAATAAATGTTTCTTAAAAAAATCAAGTCTAATTCAAAATTAACAAATTGCAAAAAAAAAAAAAACAAAAAAAAACTTGATTGATTTAAATAAAATAAAGGCAATATGAATAATCATTTTAGTGTTTACAAGCAACAGGTTACAGTGTTAGAATGAAGTGTAGCAACCAATGAAACAGCTTCCAATCATTGTATATGCTCATGTTTGTTGCCATTTGATGATGCATGAGACTGTCAGTGGGGAGTTTTGAGACAATATAATGAAATGGGAAAAAGTAAAATTAATATTTCTATTGAAAAAGCAGATTAAAGAATGTTTGGAAAGTTTTAGCATGTCTCTCATTTATTTGTTTGATATCTACACAAAACTTATCTTTACTGATTGCATCTACCACTGCCTGTCCTCAGTTGTTCCAGTTTAAATTCTTATATACTGACCAGAGTTGATTTATTTCTACAACCAAAGATAAATAATTGAATCTGGTGGAACCAATTGGTTGCAACTGTTTTATGTAACCTGATATATCCTCAATGATTTCAGCTAAACTGAATTCTATTTTAGTTTGAGCAGTTTCCCCATAAATATTTAACTAGAAAATTTTAAATCATAAAGAACAGAACTTGAATATGTCAACTATATGTTTAAATAGGATGTTGCAATGTGTTTATATTAGATTGCCTATTTTCCATAAATACCAGACTAACATATGTAAAATCCAGTATCCTCTGTTATTGTGTGTGTAACAAAGCCATATTGAACTCCTTTAACAATTGTGTAAGCTTGCTGTACTATTATCTTTTCTGAGAGCTGCTGTTGACTTTACTTTGTGTCATTGTAGTTATTAGACTTTTAGGCATAATCTGGAAAATTATTTCACAGAATCTCTATCTCGCCATATGCAACATACAACGGCTCATAGAATGTGTGCCTTGTGCCATTTATTAAAATTTCCCTTTTCCAATGGTGTTTTACAAGGTCCTCAGTTTTGTGTATTTTTGTATGAGTTTATGATTAATGTTCTCTTTAATTTTGCTTCAGGCTGTGCCAGCTTTATGGAGATTTATATTTGTTACCACTGTGAAAGGCAGTTTACCAATAAAGATGCAATGCGCATTCACCAAAATGCCTGCAGTCACCGTCCAGATAATCAAGCTGGTATGCAAACGCCTCCCCCTCCCTTGCCACCACCTCCTCCTCCTCCCTCCCGCTCCTCCAAGACACTGCCAATCCATGGAGGAGACTGTGCACGTCCACTTACCCATAACCTAACTGACGATGATCGCCACAGAATCAGTAAAGAGAGTTTCTTGAAATCTTTTCAGTTGGTCCAAATTCTCAAAGCTGAGAAACTAAAGTCTGAAAAGCTCAAGTCAAGGCGAAATACAGATGTTGATTGTCAAATAATTGATGTTGAACCTCATGATTCGGTTCAACAAACTTCACCACGGACCCCAAAGTCGCTCATTTCTCAATTAAGTCGGGAGGGAGAACCAGGAGTCCATCGCAAGCGCCTCTGTTACCCGACCAGTACAGAGGAGAGCGATGGAGACAGCGGTGACAGTGTTACCAGCAACAACGTGGAGGACATTGACACGTTTAAAAAGAGTTCAAAAACCAATTCTCTGCTCTGCATTGATATTTCATCATTGCTGGGTTTACGGATCCAGAAACATGTCAAAGCAGAAACTACTTTGCAGGCATTGCCGGACATTGAACAGTACTGCAAGACACCAGAGAAAAATGATGCTTTAGAGAGGTTGCGTACCAGACCGATTATGTACCCAATCACATTCAGAAACTCTAAAAAGACCAATACAAAATTCAGTCATGAATACAAGTTTACCAAAGCCCAACAAAAGGAGTTTATGAAACGTGTGCAAACAGGACTTAACAAGCAAAGCCGTATGTTGAAACGCACACTAAAGTCATGTAGCGTACGCCTCCGACGTTTGAATGAGGAGGAAATCAAAAAATGGACAACTCCAAAACGGGATGCTCGGGTTAATATCCAACCTTTAACTCATGATCAAATTCTTCTGTGGACATCTAAGCGTGAATATTTGAAGGACTCCCAAAATATCAATAGCATGTATCCTTGGTCTCCACAGAAATTCCCCTCCAAATCTTTCCCCACAAATAGGTCAGCTGGACCTATGAGACGATTAGGGTATCACTATTACAAAATGGGAAGTCCTGTACATAAAAAAGTGCGAAAGCCACCACATCCAATGACCATCTACAAGAGTGTTTACACTAACAATTCTACCTCGAAAGCTAAGCCACTTGCTGAGAGCCGCCAGTTCATTCCTTCTGTGAAACATACTTTGAATGATTCGCATACATTCAACATGAGACATGCACCCGAACTTCCGAGATATTTAAATAATCGGGTTGCTCCTAAACCGGATCAGGTGCCTCCACATTTTGCCAACCCCTACAGTTCGTTGAATGCTGAACTTCTATCTTCCCAGTTGCCCCCACCACCACCACTGCCACCCCAGGCATACAGAAATCTACCCAACCCTGCCCTGACACCCCAGTTCTTGGTGAGGCACATGGAGAACAGAAGCAGCATCTCACCTCCTCCCCTTGTTGTGATCCCTGTTCTCGGTCCTCCACCAGATCAGGCTATTGCCGGTTTAGGAATGCCCGGTAGCCATGGATTGGCTGCTCACAGCATCTTGCCCAGCCAGGAAGAACCGTTAAAGCTTGTAAATAAGCCACAAATTCCTGTTTCTGGGGAATCATCGAATGTTCACGACAAACTGAGTGACGACAATGTGTCCATTCATACCATTTCTTCTGATTCAGAAGATGAGGACATGTATGTGACCCGATGTACGATTTGCAAACGTGGGCCATGTGAATGCTCTCCAACTGAGTGCTTCAGATTCTTACCTTGTTTGCAGCCAAAACCGGCGCACCAACCCCAACAGTTTCACACATTCGATCCAAATCCTCGCATCAGTGACCAAAATGTTGCAATTGCTACCACCAATAGCCTAACTTGTGGCAAAACTGTTGGTGAATCACCATTGCGTGTGATTGTGAATTACAACAAACACAACAGTAACAATAGTGGAGGTGGTGGCAGCAACAACTTGAGCAACAGCCATCATAGCGGCAGCAGCAGCAGCTTAGCCTCTTCTGCAGGTGAGCTTGCAGACAGCAGCCGTTGTCTGTCTAGTCCTGGGGAGCAGCAGATCAGTCCAAAACATGTTTATGCTCCCATCATAAAATCTGTGGGTCACCGGGAGAAGCATGTATTGAAGCAATACCACATGGCAGGAGGCAACCCTGAAATGTGTAACTCCAGCCCCTTGAAAGTGATTAACCGTGTTGAAGCTGCACGAGGAAGCAAACTGTACAATGAGGAACTAGTGGAGAACCATGCTGGATCCTCAATGTCACACAAGTATTACAGCAATCCACAGAGGACTAAGAGTTGGCACAATGCCTATAACAGCAACAAAATCAGAGCACAAAAGGTTGGACAGAGTCCGAACCCGAGTGAGTTAGATGATGATGATATTCAAATTTTAGAAGAGGTAATCTGTATAGACTGACTGATGCTGTTACACATTTATCTATCTACCTACTTACCTACCTGTCTATCAGTCTATCTTACCTACTACCACTATTATTACATACTATTTGTAGAGATGGGTAGATAGATAAATACGGTTCTTTATGTTTGTGCGTTTATTGACGTGTGTGTATGAAGGTGTGTATGTGTGTATATACATATGCATAAATGTGTGTGTGTGTGTGTTCAGCCATGTTGAGGAGATGAATAAAAGAAGCAGAAGATTCAAAAACAAATGTAAATAAAAGACAAAAAAAAACAGTTCATTCTGACAATTAAAGACAGAAATCTTCAGACTTCCCAGACTTTTCTTCTTCTTCTTCTCACTTTTCATCCTCATGTCTTCAAGTATTCAGTTGCTGACATTTTGACCTTTCCACATAAGAATGTAGCACACACCATCATTTCAAAAGGGTTGATTTGAGTTAGACATCAGCATCTCTTTCTCTAACTTCTTTGATTGTAGCAAGCATACCTACCCACCCACTCTGTATCTTAAAACAGATGCATACACATTTGTGTGTGCATGCATGTGTGTATGTGTATCATATGCATACACATGCACGCACACTAGTTCAGCTCTGATGAAAGTATATATTCTTTCGTATATGTCTTAATTTTATGCAATTTATTTAATTTTCTCTCCTTTTCATCTCTTAAATTCTTGGTGAAACATTTTTTTTAACTAGTTTTCAAGAACTGATTTATTTTCATCATCTCTTTCTCTTTACCAAGTGTTTTCTTCCTCCCCCACCACTCTATCTATCTATCTATCTCTCTTCTTTTATCTCTCCCTGAAACAAAAAATAACAAACTGTATATTATTGGTTAAAAGCTCTGCAGATTATAATAAGTCCTTAGTTTTCCTAAGGATGATATTTATTTGCACTAAGTGCAAGTTTTTTAATTTGACCAAAACTATTTTTCTTTTCCTCTGTTTGTTTTTTTTTTTTTATTCTTTTTTTTAAAGATTGTTTTTCTTTCTTTCTTTTCCACTCCAAATGCAGATGAAATATTTTCTAAATGCTCTTTTATATATTGGTTAAATAAACCTTCAAATCTACAGTGGAGTCATTCTGGCTCTGTGAAGAAACCTTTTTATTTATATTCTATTTACTTGATCTTGTCACTGTTTGTGGCCACTAACAATGACAACAAGGATGGGGAGGAAAGGCAGAAAAAAAAAAAAATTTAAATCGGTGATTGCAGTGAACCATTGAGACTATATTTCTTAGCCACTGATTCTCTTACAAGGCCAGGGTTAATATGTGCTTCCATATTGTCTCCCTACCACAATTAGTTGTATTGTTGTAACTTGTTTAAACTGTCAGTGATTTTTGTTGATGCATTTTTCTCCCCAATTATCTTTTCTTTTTTTTCTCCCCAAGTCATTTTTTTTTCAAGAGCCAAAAAGAAGAAAAAGGTTTGAATCTACTCAATTGTCTTTCTCCTTTATGATGTTATAACATTGTCTAGAAATGCTATTCATTATCAATCCTGCATAGCCAAGATGTCAACTGAATGAGGGCATCTCTTTCTCTCAGTGTATATGTAATCTGTGTGGTTTTCTTGGCAGCATTTGAAAACTATCACTGATTCAGTTGCACTTTCTGCTGTTTGATTACCTGCCCTTGGTTCACTTTTCCCACTGTCCTCCTCTCCCAACCTGTTGGTTTATCTTTTTTTTTTTTTTTTTTTTTTTTTTTTTTTTTTTGTTGAATTATTGCCCAGATTGTTGTGGCCAAGTCCAAACCTGAAGCATTCATACAGTAGTATTAGGCTGTCTGGATCTGCATTTGCTCTGATGCATGTATCAAGGTCTTTGCTCAAGCCTATATCATCACATCTGACAAAGTCAGCATTGTTTCATTGCAAATCATCTTATTGTACTGCTCCTCCTCCCACATGCATTTCAATGTGTTTGTGTTTGGTTCCAAAACATTTTCCCATCAACTTGCATCAACCAGTCTCCCATTTTTTAAAGCTGCTGTTTAAATCATTCTCCCGTTTTCCTCTCCTACCTGATAGGTATTCAGTGGAACATTTTGTTTTTTTTTTTTTTTCTATGCTTCTCTAAAAGAAGATACACTCTCTTATGTCCAGAACAATCCCACAAACGGATGGAGCCATGCCAAAATAGATTGTTATTGTTTATTCATTTCTGGATGACTTTTGCTGTATCTTTTTTACATGATTCCATTCTGATAAGACTCTCATTTTCCTCATGTCAGTCTGACAAAAATAGCATTGCCTGAAACTTGGCACTTCTGCTCAGATCTTCATTCAGAGGAAATGGTAAAATGCAACAAATTATTATGTACAAGTAAAAAGGCTAATTGTTATAGATGTGCTGTGCAACATGGAACAGAAGTACAGATTGTAATCTGGCCAAATGCTGTACATGATTTGGTGCCATTTTCCCAATAGTCAGCAGAAGAAAGAAACTAGTTCAGGCAGAAAAATTTTGGTTTATGTCCTATTAGTTGACTTTTTGTGTGTGGGAAATGGATTCTTTTCTAAATCACTGGATGACTTGCATTTCCTATTTGACCATTAATGAATCCAGGTAAACCTGCTTGGCAACATATTGGATATATCATCAGTTGCTTTTGTTCTCATCATTTGTTGTGTGTGTGTGTGTGTGTGTGTGCGTGTAGCTGTTTCAGTCTCTTTCCAAGCAGTTTTATTTTTACTTACTTCCCAAACCACTATGCTATGGCAGTGGATGTAGCTTTATACGAATTCTGTTGGTTAATAACTGACTTTGATTTTGTATGTAGATGAGGAAGTTTTGATTTGGAAAATTCCCTGTGCACATGTGTATATCGTTGCATGTGTGAGTGCTTGGAGAAGAAGTAGGAGGAAGAGCAGGAAGCTACTTCTCATTATCTACTGTTGAATAAACGTCCAGGAATTTGTAAATTGTCAAATGGAGAAAGAGGCCAGCACAAAAGAACAGTTCCACTAGTGGAAGACAGATTCTTCCAAAGGACATTTTTTTTTCTTTTCTACTACAAGCAAGCAAGAAGTTTCTGTCACTGCAGATCACTTCTGACCACGTTGTGACCCAGACCCTCCTACCATCTACCTACATAGATGTATCTTATTAGCATCCCACCCACCTTACATTTCATCTATTCTGTGAGCAGAACTTGGCTATCACACATTGTGATTATTCCACTTGTGATCAAGATGACCTCATGTTGTGACTTTTAACCTCCTCCTCCTCCTCCTCTCTTGCCCCACCCCATGCAGCCAAAATTCTCTTTGACCAGATTTGCTCTCAGCAGTAAATCCCTTTGTAACCAATTCTCTTTTAGTTCAATATCAAAAGCAAGACTATCATCCTTTGAACATCAAAACTTTGGACTTGAAAACACTGATGATGATGATAAATAAAGACAAAACAAATGATTTCTCCATTCTTTCTTTCTTATTGTTTTTCTTTTCAGACATTATTTGTGTTATTCTTTTTGAAAGGATTTCCTTTATTAGATTTGTTTAAATGGACTGACATGATAGCCTTTTGTTCTAAGATTTCATTTTATTTTGGAACATGCTTATAACCAGTCACTGCAGACATCAAAGAATACATTGACTCTTTTTTTTTTTTTTTTTTTTTTTTTTTTTTAATGAATTAGGAAGGCAGGGTCTAAAACATGTACCCAGGGTGCCAAGGCAGGTACCATTAGATCCATTTTTTTTTTCTTTTTGAATTGGGTGAATTTATAGATGTGAATGTCAGTTTTGTGCCAAGTATGAAAATCACTAGTTCTCAACCTGAGCAAGAGGCCCTTCCTTTCCAAAAATAATCTCATTTTGGGAAGTATGCTGGGCTGAAAACTTTTCAGCATCCCTTTTTCCATATACATACACACATCATATTTACAGCCATATAAGCCACTCTTTTTTTTTTTTTTTTTTTTTTTTTTTTTTTTTTTTCCTTCCTTAAAAAAAAAATCCTCCAAAAATCATTTTACATCTTATACACTGATGGTTGGGATTGAAATAAAGAGTATCAATATGAGACTAACATGTAAAACCCCTTTTTGACAAACTAAATTCCTGATGACCTCAGAACAAAATATATATGATTACATAATAATGTTTTAGTTATTTTCATTTTGTTTTCTTTTATATATATATATATGTTAGCAAATTATATGGATGGTGAGGTGATTTTAATACACAAAACCAGTTAACTAAGCTCAAAGATTCATCTTTTCAGTGATGAAAGCCTGCTTGAGTGCATATTTCTTTTCAGCTCTGCTTTCATTTACCCATCTCTTAGGGCAGTTGAAGTACAGATGACCAAAAATTATAAACCCTGATATTGCCCACAGTGCTAAAAGTATATTTCCAACATTAAAAATACCAGTCATATGACTTCTTGTTATAACTAACTTTACATTTTGTTTTGTTTTCAAATAATTAGGCTGGTTATTTTTCCAGCAGATGATTTACTCTTGGAAGAACAATAGCATATTAAGGAGAGTATTTCCACTTTTTGTTTTTATCTCTTAAGCTTCCTATTGTTTGTACATGAGCCTTATGTGACTTGAAGAGATCAAACCACCTTGTTGAGAAAGCATTTAAGTACTCCACCTCATGCCTTCTGTAAAGATTGCTTACAAGAGTTCTCTAAAGATTATTAAAATTATTGCAAGACACACAAAAGCAACAAAAACAAATGGCCTGAGTAAATCGAGTCAATAATATTAGAATAAGAATGAATTTTCAGTCTAAGGTGGGGTATCATCTACACCGGAATGACATACCTGTTCAAACTTTGTCATGATGACAATAACTGTTCTTAAAAAATAATTTAGATGAATTATTGATTACTACCCAATTTATAGTTTTTTATAAGTCAGAAGTAAATATATCTACATTATTTTTAGTTATTGAAATTTTGTAACTTCTGTATTTTGAAGTCTTTTAAACAGCAGTAGTGCTTTATCCCTTGTTTTCTGTTTAAGATGGGTTTCCAGTACCTTCTAAAGTCTACTTTAATTCTATACATCTAATGTCTTTGCTTAAACTTTGGAATTTTATTTACTATTTATTTTTCCTCAATAAGAGAAGATAGGTTCACCTATTGTCTGGTTCACACTCCTCTCCATTCTTTTGAACAGAGGTAGAGGTTTATATGTTCCTTCTACAGTCTTTTCCTTCCAGAAGCCCCAGGCATTTTATTGGCATTATCACCTTGCCCAAAGGTGAAGAATTGATTTTTTTTTTTTTTTTTTTTTTTTTAATTACTAAATAGTCTGGCACAAGGCCATGACAATGTAATTATATGTTGTATTGGTTTTACATTTGATTTGTTACATCATGAACATGTAAACTATTTGAAGATAAGGTTTCTTGCACTTGCTTGTTTAATCTTTTGTTTGCAATTTAATGATACATGTCTTTTTAAGGGATGTTAATACAAAGTGATCAGATCTTGAAATTGTTCCTTCAGTTTCATTTATTAATGTTTTTTCATCACAATCTTCTACCCATTCCTACAAATGCCATTTTTCTATAACTTTTCATTCTTTTTACAAATAACTAATTTGTGATATGTTTGCAAAGGTGAATGGTATGATTTCAATAAATAAAAATTTTTAAATTATGTGAAAATGCTCCTCTCCATGCCCGATGAATGACACGTATGCTGGTCTCTCCATAAGTAATGCCTTTTATTTTATATTGACACATGAAGTCAAAGGTAGATTTTGGTGTTTTGGCAGTAGAGGTTGAACCTTCCCACCAATAACCCATAATTTTTTTTCTTTGTTATAAGTGGCAAC